GGGACTGAACCTAGAGCCTTGTGTGTGGTAGGAAAGCCCGGGACTGAACCTAGAGCCTTGTGTGTGGTAGGAAAGCCCGGGACTGAACCTAGAGCCTTGTGTGTGGTAGGAAAGCACTATGCTATTGAGCTGTACCCCTGCCTGAAAACAAGTGTCTTTGTCCAAATTATTTTCAATTCCAGTCAGAAGTAACCAACAAGCTTTCAGATTCAGAGAGCATTTGCCTACCAGAATTTTACTTCGGTCGACTAATTCGGTTGCATTCTCTCACCATCTGTAGACACTACACCTCGCAGAAAAGCGACTGCCTGCTGTTTTGGCTTAGTTTTTAAAATGTGTTGATTTTTTGATGTGTACTTTTTGAACACTGTATTGTGGTGAAGGAAGGATTTACAAAATCCAATGTACTTTGGGAACGGAAAAGAAACAACTCTGTTCAATTATCTTTTGTCACTGCCCTAGAGGTGGTGGGACCTGGGAGAATGGAGCCGATAAATGAGGCTGACTAAAGTCTCATGCAATAGCCAACTTATTCAGAGCATCACTTTACACTCTGAGGGTTAAGAATGGTCACATTTTGTAGCTTTGAATGTTTGATTTTTATTGATGATTGAATATTGTTGAGTTTCTATAAATGTTTTAGTTTTCTGAGACACGGTTACATTATCTGGAAGTAGTCTGGTAGTTTTAGGTCTTATATTAAGGATACAGTTATCTTTATCATTTGCTAAAATGAGGCCAACAAATTAAATCCTATTCCCAAGGAGAGATTCTCCTGAGTACTTGGTCCTGTGTCGTGAATGATGATGTTGCCCAATTTTACTGGCAGGAATAGATACTTCATCTGAGTGAATCTGGCTACCATTCCCTGTTTCTAACTTGAGTACTTCCCTCACCACACACACACGCACGCACGCCCGCACGCATACACCAGCGGCATCCTGAAGATGTGAGGAGCTGCAAGCTGTCCTGAGTTCTCTGTCTCTACCCCTTTTTTCCTTTCCTGTACTTTGATCTGTACACTTCAGCCTCTGAAATTATTAAACTATTAAAACTGAGTAGACTATCAAGAACAGCAGTTTATTGATTATGGAAACTAGAATCACTAAGTGATTGAGTTATAAAGTGACACTGAAGAAATATTTTAGTATGGAAATAGATTAAGAATTTAAGCTGGGACTACTCCAGTTACTAAATATTTTCTAGACTTATGTGTGTCATAGTCTTACGTTAATCACATTCATGTGATTATTTGGTCAACATTTCCTTCTATTTTGACTTCTTTAGGCTGCAGATACTACCCTTCTGCTGTGTCTCCAGTGTGAATGTGGTGCTAATACATGTTAGGAATTTGGTAAATACTTATTAAATAAGTGGGCAATTTCTACTTTAAGTGATTGTTTTTGATAAGCAAGAGATAAAACTAAAAGAGAAGCTGAAAGCCCAAATCATAGAAAAATGCAAAATTTCTTTGAATTTAGCTAGCTGGACGTGTGACAGTAATTTCTAGTTCTTTTTTCTTTCTCTTTCTCTCTCTTTCTTTCTCCCTTTCTCTCTCTTTCTTTCTTTCTTTCTTTCTTTCTTTCTTTCTTTCTTTCTTTCTTTCTTTCTTTCTTTCTTTCTTTCTTTCTTTCTTTCCTTCCTTCCTTCCTTCCTTCCTTCCTTCCTTCCTTCCTTCCTTCCTTCCTTCCTTCTTTCTTTCTTTCTTTTTTCCTTCCTTCCTTCCTTTTTTTTTTGGGGGGGGGTTTCGAGACAGGATTTCTCTGTGTAGTTTTGGTGCCTGTCCTGGATCTCACTCTGTAGACCAGGCTGGCCTTGAACTCACAGAGGTCCCTGGCTCTGCCTCCTGAGTGCTGGGATTAAAGGTATGGGCCACCACTGCCTGTCAATTTCTAGTTCTTAAGAGGTAACTGAAGAAAATGAGATAAAATCTAAACACAATTTCCTTTGTGGGCTTGCTACTTTACAGGTATCTTCTACTGGAGAAAGCATCAGATGAACTTGTTGAACGAAGTCACATTTTTAGTAGCTTTTTCTATAAATGCTTGACAAGAAAGGAAAATAATTTAACAGAAGATAATCCAGATCTCTCGTAAGTCTGTCCATTGTAATTAAAGTCTTAAAGGAGTTTATTGTGTGTGTATGGGTGCATCATGCATGTGAAGGTCAGGGTACAATTTGAAGGAGTACATTCTCTCTTACCATGCGCATCCTGGGGATTGAACTAAGTCACCAGGCTTGTTAGCAGGTGCCACAGTCAACTGAGCCAGCTCTCTAACTCTTAAATTTTGAGACAAAGAAGACTATTTTCATGCTCCTGGTGAAGTGGCTTCATTGTAATAATCCCAAGAGCAAGCATATTAACACTTTGGTAGGTCACTGGTTTGTCAGGTTCAAGAACCATTTCTTACCTTTCACTGTTTGCTCTATAAGGAGGCTGGTTCTTGAAGCTGCATTTTCAGTTGCATGACCAGTGTGGGTAGGTACTAGAGGTTAAGAGAGCAAGGAATAAAAAAGCTAGTCTATTTCTTCCCTACGCTTTTTGCTTTGGATGTGATTTTATCTGAGGTCATATTTCCTCGGGATGTCTTTTACTGGAGATGGTTGCTGTCCCTTTAACTTCCACTGGGGGGCACTGCTGCTTTCCTTGATGTCCACCCTGAGGCCATAGCAGTGCAGACTGTGCTCCTCTCTGATTGCCTCACTGGCCTTTTTAAAGTGTGTACTCTGTCTGTGTTAGATTCTGTTAACAAAGACGTAGGGCTGTGGTTTGTTTGTTTGTTTTTCTGGTTAGTTCCTTGCTGACATGTTACTATTTCATTAAGTTAGTATAACATAATATGAAAACCATGCTTATTTGCACAATTTTGCTAAATTTCTCTATTCAGTATTTTTTAAAAATATTTTTGATTAAGAATTAAAGCTGTTGAGCAGTGGATAAGACTAGGTAAAAATGAAGAAGTGGTTACTATTTCTTAGATAGTAGAAACTCAGATAGTTATTGTAGCATAGACTTTCATAAAACCTGCCTTGTGCTCAGCAATTTATGTTAGAACCCAATGAATAGGTCCCTGAACATTTATTTTTTTAAGCATCTGTTTTCTACTTTATAAATTTCCAGGGTACAGTTTTTTTTTTAAATTCATTTCCTTTCTCCATATCAGTGCTTTTAGATACATAGGCCCCATATAGTATATCCCAATTCTTTGTCTATATGTATGCCTGTATATGCCAGTGTCTATGGAGGTCAGGAGAGGGCATCTGATACCATGAAACTGGAATTACACACAGTTCTGAGCTGCCATATGGGTGCTGGGATTTGGAACCCAGGGCCCCTTGAAGAGTAGCCAGTGCTCTGAGACATCTCTCCAGCCCCTATCCTAATTCTTTAAATGAAAAAAGAAATCGGCTAATTAAGGATTGGAGAGTTAGAAAAGGACAAATAGCTAGGGAGTAGTAGGCCTGGACTTAAATCCTTATTTTTAATTTCTAGTCCAACATTTTCAATGCCTTAAAAATGATGATGCTGGCCAGGTGGTGGTGGCGCACACCTTTAATCCCAGCACTTGAGAGGCCGAGCCAGGCGGATCTCTGTGAGTTC